TTCGTAAGAAATTAATACCACTGAAAAAATATTATTACACTAAAGGAATAAACGAGATTCTCGACCGCGTTGTTCAAGTTTTTGTAATTTTACTTCATAACACACTCTGTACATAAACATATTAGACTGAATTATAAACCAGGTATAACTAATTAGATAATCCTAGAAAAAGAATAAACTAAACCTAGTAAGCAAAAAAATATATACATTACATTCAGAATTCTAAATGTTTATATAAACGTTTCTCGCAAGGCCTGCCGGGAAAAAGATGTCAAACGTTCTTTGGTCAGACGATTGGAAAAGAACGCTAAAATGATTAGTTTTTTGTTTTCAACAACCACATTACCATTTCAATTATATACCACAAACAGTGATTAAATTTTGGAATAATTTAGTTTTAAATAATAATATACGGGCAATTTAAGGCGTAATTTATCGGATGCACAATGACAAAATACTACTATTAGATCTGCATTTGGAATAAATATTTTGCACTCTTTCAACTCATTAGACATTACGAACACTGATATTAATTAATCGCAAAGCTTAAACGTTTAAATACTTACTCACTACATATAACAGTGCAAAGTGCATGAGAATAATCTGCATAAAATGAACAAAAAATATTTCAAGCAGTAATTGTAAACATTTTCTTACTTACCTGCGCTATACAACCAACATGCATTCAGCCATGTTTTTTTCTGCAACTAGCTTTCAGACAAACACTTTTCTCCTGATTGGCTAATTTCCAGTCAGTCACGTGATTCTTCCGTGCGGCTACTGAAACATTATCTGTAATGTTACAAGCAAATCAGCTGTTACCGCTACAGTTTGCTTTCAACCTGTTGCCATTACAGAAAATTCTTCTGTAACTTTTTGATTTCTGTAACTTTACAAAACTTTTGCCTGTAAAGAGCTTTTTTTTTTTACCGTGCACTAAAAGTCCCCTCACCCCTTAAAACCAGGCACAGGGGTTGAACCCCTGCCCTCGCACCTTGGAGAAGGATGCATCGCTTTTGCGTCATCGGTCGTTGTCTATGATTTGCTACCTGCCAGTCACTTGGGCTACCCGTCGCAAAGGGACATTACTCAGCGTCTTCGGGGTGGACTACAGCCATCTGCTCTAGGATTTGCCAGACCCCAGGTCTGCCAATAAGTGTCTTTCCGGAGCCTCCAGAAACACTAGGTTCATAATTTGTATAGCCCCGTGGCCGAGACTGCCTAAATACAGATCCTAGCCAGTAGCAGCGCAGAGCTCTCTACATTGACCCCTGAGGAAATTCACTCTATACAGGGTGATTCACTACCAGACCGACAAATCTGCAGGGTGTAGGTGGTACAGAGACAACTCGTAATCACATAGGAATGCAGGGTCGCAAATGCCGTAGTTGCGCGTCGTTCGCTATCGAGTCAGTATAGCTTTCGTTAAACAACCAGTCTCACGTAACCTTCTGTTCACAATTGTAAAGGTCGTGTAATGTGAAGCATGTCTGTTTGGGTAGCGTTCCTGGTACAACTGCCGAGCAGCTTGCCTGTTGCAGTCCGCAGTTCCATACAAGATCAGCATGTCGACCAGTTCATCGTTTGAATACACGTTCATCCTACTACCTCTGGAAACGGATCGCAAACGACGACTTCCAGCCGTTGCTCACGCAGCCTTCCGTTCAGCACCATCTAACGCAAGACTGCCGGGAGGAATCTTCCAGAACGTAAGGAATTCCATGTAGCACCGCTATCAGGCCTGCCAGTCTTGTCCGACTTTTCTTAAAATAAATCTGCGGTTTCTTGGTGATAACTTAGGATGTGGTCCAGACTTCAGTAGATTTTGAACAGTTCCACCCAGTTTGTGTCGTTTTATTACATCAAAGATGGTTAAACGTTTTACATTAGGTATATTTTTTAGCTATTTCGCAAACTTTTGCCATCTTTAGAAAGATGAATTATTTAATTTCTAGCGAAATCGTCGTTAATTTTGAGCAATGTTCACTTCAGGTATAAAAATGTTGCATTTTGCTAAAAAAGTTAAAATTACACAGCGCAGACAGTAAGTCTTGTGGTGTATTTTAATTTAAAACAAAAGTCTTAACAAGAAACAACATTTACCAAAACATTTCAACAAAAATCTGTAGTGTCCGAAATATTATGTGAGCTACTGATTAACACGTTTTGAACGAATTATTTTATTACAAGCAATCTTTTGACGATATTTATTTTACAAGTGAGGCTAAATAATAGAGAAAAAATAATATTTTAGACAAAAATTTGAAGTCTATGTTTAAATATTTAGTACAAGATTTGTGCAAATAAATTAAAAAATACATGTGTTCGGACATTTAATTATTATTAATATTATGTTCTGTTGGAAATTTCGTAACTATCACTTTAAAAACAGCTTGAAAACTATTTTTCTCTTAAGCAGTTTTCGGCAACTGTAGTTCTGCAGAAATGTTACTGTAGTTCCTACAATTCACGCTAATTCCCAAAATACATATTTTAAAAATTGAATTTAAGATAAAAAATATTACGGTTTGTCTGTAGAAACCATTGGAACTTGGAATACAACAAACAGAACATATACGAGAACAGCAACATTGTTTGTTAAAGACCAATCAACATTTTATGCTTACAGTTTCTATTGTTTGTGACTTTTTGAAAAGTTTGGCGAATTTTGCAAGATGGTTGAGCTATTACGTAAGTATCTTTATAGTATTATATACACACACACACTTACTGGTGAATTTACATTTTAGCTTCTTCAGGAGTCTGGTTGCGTAACTATTAAAATGGAAATCGAATAAACAGCCAAAACTTTTTCGAAACTTCTTTATTAAATAATAAAATGTATTTAAATTATTTACGATGAATAATTAATATTCACTTTTGAAGAGGATAATATTTATATGTTTGGACTGGACCGCTAACATTATTTCATCGCACAATGTAAGAATGCAAAGAATAATAAGAGAATCCTAGTTCAAAAGAATGGTTTATTAAATGAAAACGCTGCTTATGTTAAATTCAAATTGCCGATAATTTATTGTCTATCTTAATAGATAAAAAAAATTTAAATAACATTAAAAAAAACTGCCACTTGTTGATGCTTTATTTCAGGAAATTGTTGTCTGACAATGATAAGAGCAATCATTGTTATATATCTGAATTGTTTCTTCCAATCGCAAGATAGTTTCAGATAATACATTTTCATTTTCTTATAAGTAGCATTATTTAACGATAAGTTTCTTGTTGCATTTATCTGCCTGGAATCAACATTCTATTGGTAACAATAATAGCTTTAATTAACTTAAACATTTGTAGCTTTAGTTATTAACCCATCAGCTAAAACACTGCTCAGCTTCAGCATTTAATAGTATATTTTAAACGATAATTATATGACTTTTACTTTTGTACCCTAGCAGTTACTTGGTTCGAACTCTGTTAATTCTAATATCATCTTTTTTCTATCATCATTTTCCATTTTATATCTCAGGAAATATTTTTAAAAAGTGTGTTAGGGTAAAGTAATTTAATTGCTTGCACTATTCATCTGTAAAACAGTTTTGCACGACATATTTCATTGACTCATATACTTACAAGAGAATAGTGGATTGAATGGCAGATTAACTTTTGATTTTTAAACTAGAATTCATATATTACCTTCGAATTTCACTTCATCACTGGAAAAAATATTCATCGGTAAGTCACTTATCAATTCATTTAGAATCGTATTCAGCACAGTGTAATTTCATGCATTTTTGAATCATTTAAAATCGTATTGGTCATAATACAATTTCATATCATGTATATTAGGGAGTATTTATTTCCTTATAAGGGGATTCTGCTGATAAATTGAATGTAAAAGGGAAAAGGATAGTAGGGAATTTAAGATAAATTCACTGATTTTCAACCAAATATCAATAACTTTGTCAATGTTTATGTGAGCATTATCTGTCCAATAATGACGTCAACTAGACTAATAAAAAGGAATTTCAATTTGTTTAATTTGTTCAATGCATCTGAAATACATTAAATGCTAATTAATTGTGACTACAGACGCGCAAAGCATGTTCTATCCAATACCTACAAAACGCCATAAGTGTGAGCTCACTTTCATGCAGCTACAATTCTAGTCTTCAGTGTAAAAGTATGTACAAAATACAGGCGTCCTGCTTTAACGACTTTAGAAGAATAGGCATTTCATTTGCATAAATAAGTACATGAAATATACTAAATACATGAATTTTCTATTTTGCTGGCTGCAGTGAGTCAGCTTAGTCAACGTGTTCACAGTATAGGCTCTACAAATATCCAACTTGGCCCGAAAAATAAAAATATAGAGGTCAGTTTTAGGTTTCACACAGAGTTAGTCGAGGAATGAGTTCAGTGGATCGTGAGCTCTGTTTAGTTCATTACTTGGAAGAGCAGAAGCTGTAGTGAGTACCACATGAGGGCAATATCAGTTATATCCCATATGGGAAAATACGACATAAACTTCCACATTTAACAGCAAATATACCAAAAAAATCCATTATTTTCCTAGAAAGTGATTATAGCTTGCAAATGTGGGCAAGAAAACATGTTAATATAACTACTGAAGATTGGAGAAAACTACGTTGTTTTGCTGAAAAAGTTCTTAATACATCAGGCGGTTAATTATACGCGTGCATGGTTCTAATACTCGTAGCATGAAGCAGTAGATCCAGAGTGCTTGGTTAACTCTGCCTAGGTAGATGGCGGCGTTTGCCTGGTTTGAGGATTAATTTCCTGTTAAGGTGTTGAACAACTAGCTTCTGTAGAAGTGCGACTGCAGTAAAGTAATGCGACATGGTGGAAAATAGTGGGAAAAGTAATATGGCATTTTTATCCTGTTGTGAGCGTTACATGATGGTATTAATGTAAAGTGCTGTATTATGTTAGAATTACTGGCGGAGCATCAGTGTTGCATAAGAAGAATGATGTCGAATTAATTTCACAAAATGTACATTTGAATTAATTTCACAAACCTGGAGATAATATTACAGGAACTAAGCATGCCAATCCAGTGACAATGAGCGACGAGACAGAGCACCATCTTCTTCCATACCATTCCATAAAAAACCAACTGAAAATAAATCCAGGTACTTCGACTAGAGCTAGGTAGAAGAAGTTGAGAAAGGGATTACCGCCCAGGTTGGACACATTAATTTGCAAGCCGTAATAAGCCATGATGTCCGCAACCCTAAGAGAAAAATAGCACATTTTAAAGTCACAAAATTTTCAGGTCAAATATTTTAAGAAATTAATCATGGACATGTCAGAAAGAAAGTGACTTGATCTTGAATTAGTTTGGAAGATAAGCATTCCAATGGATGTAGCTATATGATTGCATAATTGTTACATAATATGAAGTTTTATAAATCAAAGATTCGTAGCAGTCTTACATCGAGTTAACCGACTGGAACTTTCGTCTATTATATTTCCTCAGTTCGTGTTTCTACATAACTTTTTCTGATAATTCTAAACGTATTTCAAAGTTTTTCATTATAATTAAATTTACATTGAGCCAAATAATAACCATAAGATAGCTTTATCAGGTTCAATGTTTCTTCTAACCTTCTTCGGAAACATACAATGACCTGACTAGGAACAGAGAGCTTACTAAAGCTATGTTCACTAATTGTAGTAAGTAGACAGGATACAGACGAAGGGTATACAAGACCCTTTATTTTTCTTTATATACAATGACTTCCGTACTTCGGAATACAATGACCCTCCACTCGGGGTCTAACGTAAAAGGTATAAAAATAAAACTAAACTCTAATTTAACTTTAGAATAAGATTGGCCTTATAATAACAGGAAGCGTATGTAGCACAGAGACTGTGAACACTACAATACGTTTAATTTATCAAGAGGATTAAAACCTCTGGCCTGGAAGGCAAATAGCAACTGCGTAACTTCTAAGGTAAGCGGCCTGCTTCGAACTCACTGCTTCCTCTCTCTCTCGCTTGGCAAAAAGGCCACAACTTAAATACTTGGCGTTCGCCAGACAAACTTTGCATAAATCCTTCACGCTTATAATTCTGGCCGGAAGTAGAAAATAAGAAGTGATAGTAAAGATTTAAAATAAAATAAACGTTAGTAAAACTTAAGATCCTTACATACTTCCGCCAGAGTTAATTAGTTTGAAACTGAGGTCTAAAACGACCTTGTTGAAAACTTTTAGCTCTAGAAAACTAACGCGAGGCCAACCTTTTACAATCATAACTTCGCTAGAAACTAGAAAATTTAAAAGAAAGAAATTTGTTACAATAGCAGCTCCCGGGATACAACAACAATTTTTTTTTTTTTTTTTTCATCTGTACTGCATCTAAACAGGAGCTTTTATTCAATTCTGGTTCCTTCCAGAGATCTGGAAGGAAAACTAGTTTAATGAAATGTTACACAATGACATTGCAAAGTAACATATAGAATATACTTCTCTTAACATTCTTATTTCATTCATGACTATTTTAATTATCTCTCCCCGTGCTCTCTGACATGTGTTGTAAAAGAACACCAAACACGAATGTGTTTCTGTCTACGTGTTCCACACTTCCTCCTACAATCAAAACACTAACGTGTTAAAATTCAACATAACGAGACCTCTTAACACACCCTAATTTCAACTCTAAACCCTGAGGTACTATTCTGAAAGTGGCTAACTCTAAAGTGTAGCGTCAGAGAGCCTAACTACATCATTCAACCTTTAACACATATTCACCATGATTTAATCTTTACAGTCACACGAATAACAAATTTTTAACATTACTTTCACTTTTACCATATCACGGTATTTCTTAACATTTAAAATAACAGTTCACATGTATATAAGAACATATCAACATGCCGTTAATTTTACACATTTGAAAACATACATTAGTAGTACATTGTTAACTTCTATTCTTTTCAAAGCAAGTGCCAATTCTTTCTACATTGAAATAATACTACATTTCAAAAAGTCTTTCAGACTAAAACTTCTTTCTTGCTAGAATGTTTTAAATAAAATTTATACAATAACTTTTTACAATATTTAAGTCTTTACACAACGCTATTATACATCAACTTTAGTTTTACGCGCGAGTAATTGAAAAACATAATAAGAAAATCGGTCACAACTCATTTCTCGCCCTTTTGGCGATAAAGGTAGACCTCGCATGAGGTAAAACTTCTTGAAATCTGCCACTTGCAGTAAGAATGAAAGATTAACTTAAGTTTGCAAAGTAACATAAAATTTTACTTATCTTTGTAATATTCGGACATCCTTTTCTGGGCCCAGTCTTTAAAGGTAGCTGATAGTAGCTTGGTTTGATCCTCCTTCTTGTACGGGCTCGCCCTTCAGTGCTTTCCTCTGGAAGCTTCCGTTTTTCACCAGTTCGGCCACCCTTGAACACCTTCCTTTCTCCTCTGCTTGTGGTCCTGGCCGTTTGAAGGCAGCTGGTCTTGGCGGAACCGGGAAACTTCTGTCGTGATCCTGCTTGGACCTCGTTGTTGGCCGTTCAAATTTTCCTTGTACTTTTTCCTCCGCCGCTGATGGCCCTTCCGCAGTTCGGCGTCTTTTGCTGCGGAGAGTTCTGTCGGATGAGTAGATCTTCCGTTTTAAAGCCGGGTTATAGTTGCCGTCATTTCTCCTGGTCTCTTCACATACGTCGTCCTTCTCCCTTCTTCATTCTGGGGGTGTTCGTGAACTCTGTTTTCTGGACGGTGGTGGAACGGCTTCTTTTTCTTGTTACCTTCAATTTTTTCCGCGGGGCAATTTTCTTTTCACTTGCTTCTGTCTCTCATTGGCTTGCTTGCCTTGTACTTGTCGTTTTTTCCACCTCTGGAACTTGTACCTGCGGTGTCTGCCGTGCCGGATCCTGCAAAAGATCTGAAAAGATTTGCATTTTATTACGATCGAAGTAGTAGGGCTTGATTTGATCAATGTTTGCGGAACAGGTTTCACCATTTCTTGCCTTTAACACTACAACAGCGTGAGTTATTTTTTCTATAACATATGGTCCTTCAAAGCGTGGAAAAAATTTGGCAGTTTTATCTTCTGGTGCTGAAGAAAGTGAATGCTTAATTTTAAAAACTTCATCCCCTACTTTATAAGTTACTCCCCGTCGTTTCAATCATATATAAGCTTCTGTTTTCTTTGTGCTACTTCCGTATTCTTTTTGCTTCTTTTATTAGTTTTTCTATATCACCCATTTTAAATTCTGGGGCTCTTTGTTGCACATAAAATAATTTATCTAACGGTGTTATAATCTTTCTGCCTAGAAATAACTCAGCAGGTGTTTTGCCCGTTGTATCATGTTTTGCGGTCCTAAGGGCGAAAGCAAATTCATTGACATAGTTATCCCAGCTTTTATGAAAATTTTTAACATAACTACGGATAATTTTCACTATATTTCTGTTTACCCGTTCCGCTATATTTGATTGCGGCCGATACGGGACCATTTTTAAATGACGTATGCCCAGTTTTTGGCACATGTCTTCAAATATATTACTTACAAATTGAGGACCATTATCCGATATAACTTTTAGGGGGCGCCCGTATTTTAAAATATATTTATTTAAAATAGAATCAGTAACTAATTTCGCGGAGGCTCGTTTTAAGGGAACAATTTCGGTCCATTTACTAAAATGATCAACCATAACAAGGAGATAGCGACTTTTGTTTAACTGACTTTTTGGGAAAGGGCCCAATAAATCGATGCCGATTATTTCATTTGGAAATTCGGATTTAATACTATTTAGAAACCCGGCCGGGCGGAAATTAATATAATTAACGGCTTGACATGTTGGGCAGGACTGGACATACGCCCTTGTTAACTTTTGCAGTTCAGGAAAGTAGACTAGACTGCCTCGCGTACGCGTTGGATAGTTTTTCGAATACCAGCATGAGAAGCTAAAGGGCTGTCATGGAGCTCTTGCAGGATATTTAATCTAAGACTAGCTGGGATAACAGGTCGAAATTCGTTGTTGGAATTCGTAGTTTTTGTGTAGAATAATAGACCATCTATTAGTTCGTAATGGGCCGCCCTATTTCTTATCGCCACAATATCTTGGTGGCTAAAATTTTCAGGATCCTTCAAATACTCATAAATACTTCCAAACTCAGGATCCTTACCCAGTTCGGTTATTACAGTTTCTCGGGAATTTATTGTACACGCTGTCAGCATTGCCAACTTTTACGGTATTACCCTGTTCGTCTAATTTTTAATTCGTGATAGGGCATCTGCTACGATATTTTCCTTTCCGGGGGTATGCTTGATTACCAGATTATATTCTTGCAGCTTGAGTGCCCATCTTATTAACCTTGGGGATAAATTTTTCCCTGAGTACAATCTAGTTACCGCCGCATGATCAGAATATACTGTTATCGGCGCCTTTCCAAAATAGACTCGGAACTTTTGCACTGCTAACAGAACTGCAAGTGCCTCTCTCTCGGTCGCGGAATAGTTTCTTTGTGTTTGATTTAAAGTTCGGCTAAAAAATGCCACGGGCTGCTGATTTTGCGAAAGTACCGCTCCTACCGCATAATCCGAAGCATCCGCTGAAATTTCTAAATTTCTCATCCTTTTCAGGAAATTTCAACACAGGGGCTTGCGTTAATGCTTGTTTTAATTTTTCGAAAGCACTATTGGCTTCGGCCGTCCACGAGAATCTTGCCTTTTTCCTTTTTAATTTTAACAATGGCTCAGCGATAGCCGCAAAATCTTTTATAAAGGACCTATAATATGAACAAAGTCCTAGAAAAGAAGAGAGCTTCTTTGCCGTGTTTGGAGTCGGATACTTTTGTACAGCGATTATTTTGATTCATCTGTCTCGATCCCTTTTTGCGATATTTTGTAACCTAAATATTTTAATTCAGGGGCTGCAAATTTGCACTTTTCGACATTAACTTTTAGACCGGCCTCATTTAATAAAGAAAACACCTGTCTTAAATCCTGTACATGTTGGTCCAGATTATCACTAGTAATAATGATATCGTCTAAATAGATAAATGTGGACTTTCCAAGAACAGGTCTTAACACAATGTCCATGCATCGCTGAAATGTTGCTGGGGCGCCTGAAAGGCCAAACGGCATACGCAAAAATGCATAAGTGCCAGACTTGGTTATAAAAGCAGTCTTAGGCACGTCCTCAGGCCTGACCCCTATTTGAAAATAACCATTCGTTAAATCTAAAGTCGTCATAAATTTGGTTGATTTTAT